AACAAAGATTAGCATCTAATATTTTAAAAAAGAATAGAGATGTGTTTAATATTTATCCATTTGATTTATATATTTATCCATTATCCATTAAAGGTTCTGGAATTGTTATTATAAATGAGTTCGATGCTTTTCAGAAACTTGATAAAGAAGTTAATAACTCAATAGTATTAAACTATAATCCTACCCTTAAACTTATGATAAAGTTCCAGAGACTGTTGCGCAAACTAAGAAAAGAAAACAAAATTGATAAAAAAACGTATTTACAATCATATCTATCTGACTGTATTCTGCCACGACTTTTGGGCAATATAAAAGCTCACAAACTGGAAAAAAATATTCAATGCGACCACTAGTTTCTATCATCAATACTCTTCCGTATGGTACCTCAGAATTTCTTGTTAAAATTATTAAGCCTAACCTAAACAAAAACAAAACACGCTTGTTGAATTTTACATCATTTGTCAACGAAACAAAATCCTGGTGTGTTTAGTTTTTATGGTGGCTGCACAACGTATAAGAAAGATATGCGTGTTCAACTTTAAATATCATATGTTATTATGTGTTAGTGGCAGCGCTTTTGAGGCGTTATTGATTTTTTCTTGTTTTTTTATTCATGTACTATTTATGTAACCCTCACCAGGTATTGAAATCATTGAAATTCAATGATTTCAATATCACAAAAAAATAATTAATCATTCAATGATTAGTTATTTTTTTCTTACTATTTCTATAGAAACTTTATTATTTTTGTCAATAATATTTATTACTTTTATTACTGCTGTTTTGATTATTACTATTATCATTATAATTATTATATATACTACTGTTTTTGCTGTTACTTTTGCTCTATTAATGAATAAAGTTCTTATTGTTACTATTATTTTTAAATTAATATTATCAATATTATTATTTGGTGTCACTCCTTTGATCAGGATTCTGTATGAGTGATTCCTTCCCCAATCAATTATTTATATTTATTCTTAATAATTATATTTTGATTTTATTATTTATAATGTTATAGATATTCTTATTCTTATTATTTTTATTATTATTGTTTATAACATTATAATTATTCTTATACCAATTGTTATTACTATTGTTATATTATTATTATTACTATTATTATTATTCCTATTATTATTATTAATATATTATTTTAATTATATGATTGTAAATTTTGAGGAAAATAAATATCTTGTTGTTGTTGTTGTAGTCCAGATGAAATTTAAGTATCGTATGATGTAATAGCTTTGGATTAATCAATATCAATTGATAAAGCTATGCCCGTGATAATTGGTTATCTTAATAATTACATAACTGATCTTAACACAAGAACCAAATTAACACTTACTGACGTCCACCAATTAATAAAACTATGTTTTAGTCAATATTATTTTTTGCATAAAAATGAAATTAGAACGATACCTAATTCAAGTCTAATTGGATTATCACTAATGGTTGTTATTGCCGAGGCATTCTTACAAATATTGGAAACAAGAGCTCTACATATTGCGAAAATCAACAATTTTTCACCAAAATCTTATAGAAGGTATGTTGATGATAGCCATGCAAGATTTGAATCAGTTCAAAAGCATAACAAATTTCTTATTTTATTAAATCAACAATACTCTAATATTCAGTACACGTCAGAAGTTAAAAATAATCAGAAAGAACAAAATTTTTTAGATATTAAAATAACTAACACAAATAATTACCATTACGATTTCAAAGTCTACCGTAAAGAAGCAATAACTAACATACAAAGAAAACCCGACTCAAATATCAACCCTGTTTTATATCACGAGCCACCAAAACCGCTCGAAAAAATACATTAACAACGAGATTCAGTTAATAATAGATATGTTTGTTAAAAATGGTCATAAGAGATCAAATCTAAAAACGATTGCCGCGAAATACTTTTCAAGTTTAAACAATCCCAACAGTAAAGTTGCAAAAAAAACTAGAAAATAATGTTGCGATAATAAAGCTACCTTGGGTACCAACGCTTGGACCAAAACTACGAAAAGCACTTAAAACATATAATGCCAAAGTTATTTTTATAACACCACCTAATTTAAAAAGAATTCTCTGTAACAACGAATCTAGTTTAATGCCAAACAGCAACCCTGGGGTGTACAAGCTTATGTGTTCGTGTGGGGGAATTTATATTGGAGATACAAAAAAGAGAATTTTCCAAAGAAGCATAAAACTCCAAATTAATAGCATGAATGGCAACTGGCATGCTTATGGAGCTACTAAGCATTGCAAAGAATGCCATGGGATATTCGACTGGCTGCACCCAAAAATTTTACCTATAAATAACAATTATCATGAAAGGAAGATAAGGGAATCGGTTGAAATCAACTATGCGCAAACATCTCAGGAGGTTAAGCAATGACCAAAACTGCATGTTAAGCAGTTTTGGTCATTGCTTAACCTCCTGAGATGTTTGTGCATATATAGATAACGGGGTAAAAGTTGCTTCAAATAGTTGGAGACCACTATTTAAAATAATTGTAAAAAAAAAAACAATATTTGTTGACGTCGTCTTCGTAATGGCTTTATTATGATATTTATTTATTTGATATTATGATATTTTACTTTATTATGATATTTATGATATACAACAAGAAATGGTGCTAAAACGTACAACAAGAAATGGTGCTAAAACACTTAATATATATATAATATGAATTCACTCACTTGTCCTTTTCTGGGGTTGTTAAAGTGATCCTTGATAGAAACTATTAGTAATAAATGTTCTTTACAAACTCATTTTCCTCCTGAGGTATAATCAAATCTGTGCATCAAACTCATTTTCATCTGACCACTAAACATTTTCCTAATTCTTCTGCAGGGTGATACCTGATATTAATTCTCTCTGACGCTTGGCATCGATGTGAATGATGCGACCATCAATGAGTTAAGTAATGCAGTTTTATCAATACTTGTATTATAGATATATCAGTATTGTTTACATCGCAATAAAAATAATTATTTTTCTCTTGCTGTTTTTATACCACATTGTGCGTGTAAATACATTTTAAACGCTGCTGAAATATGGCATAAATATAAACTTAAAGAAAAAAAAATTTGATCAACTTGTTTTGGTGTTAACATAGTCCCTCTCCCCTTTGTCAATTATTGTCTAACTTTTTAGCGTTCTCTTCCTCTTCTATCTTCTAAAATCCTTTATGGGTAGCTCCTAAAGTCCACTTTAATAAAGACCCGAATATAAAAAAATTAATGCGGTTTTATATTAAGTTCATTTCGTAAACAGAAACATCAATAAAATTTAGCTTGTCAAGATCATTAGTTTATTTTAATTCCCACAATGCATTTACTGTTTGTAAAAATAATCAAAATAAATCTTTTATTGAAATTTTTGTTGTTTTTTAAAGTTGTTTTTATGTTTAAGTTTCTTAGAAATTATGTCATGTCATGATTAACCGGGAAATATCAAAGAGAGAGAGAAAGAGAGAGAGAGAAATAAACGACGAAAACAACGAAAAGAAGAGGAGTTAAAAATTATTTTAAAGCTAAATTCTTTTTTTTTCTTGCTGCTAGCATTTTTGTTGCTTTGAACTTAAATACGCAAGAAAATTTTAAATTTTAACCTGATAAACTGAACTTGACATTGACAGTGAAGAATGTAAAGAAGATTTTTCTATAATTAGTGAACTTTATTCAAGTGACTTGAATTGAAAATATTTTTTGGTCTTCGGCCAAAAAAAATTGCAAAAGAAAATTAAAAGAACATTTTTAACTAAAGTAAGTGTTGAATGTCAACACTTTGATGGTAACTTTTTAAATTCCAATCAAAACGGATGAGAAATGAATAAGATTGTTCAAATAGTCATATAACGATCATGCAAAAGGTGAAAAGGTCTATTAGTTTTTTCTAAGTAAATTTTTCTCTCTTAAAGAAAATTTATTTTCAAAAAATGAAATTTTTGACTGGATAAATAATACAATTTTTTTTCACGCCATGAGAGAAGTAAAATTCGCACTAAAGCCATTCTTTTTTTAAACAAACGTGTGCGAATCAAAGGCAGGATTGACACTTCAGTTGCAGAAGAATCTAAATAGAATCCAATATATTCATTAGAAAATACTGAGGTCAATAAAATAACAATACTAGCAATATGTCAGGAGATGAAAGAGATTGTAAGCCGCTATTTGTGAAAAAAGTCCTTTTGCTGAATAAAATCCGTGTCAATTATTGAACGAACCAATTGCGTTTTCAGTGCGACTGCTTTTTTAACTACATAACTCATTGAAATACTTTCTTTAGTGCACCAACTCAGTATTGGAATATAAAAAACGTTTATCCACAACACGCTAGATGCACCGGAGAGTGATCATTCTCAGCCTTGAAAAGAATGAAGAGCTATCTTCGTTCCAAAATCATAAAGAAAAAGTCTTGCATCTTTTTAATTATGACTATGAGGTCGCCATTCTTTGAAAAACTATTGAAAGAACTAAGTCATAAAAAACTTTACTATTTTGTATTTAATTTTTTTTACTTTCTATTCGATTTCATTTATATAGAGATTTGTACATTTATTTGTTGTCATTTGTCTAAACTCAAAGTACCTCTGCCTAAGACTCGACATGCCCTGAATAATATAAATTAGTTCTAAATTTAACTAGAAGCATCAAATATGTTTTAAAAAGCAGTTAAGTACATACAAAATTGTTGTCCTGGGTATTTGTAGTTTTATTTATTAAAATAGTTTTATTACCTTTATAAGAAGTAATTGAGTTATTTAAACACCTTCCATAAAGGTAGTTAAATAATTTCTCTAGTAGTTTTTTAATGTTATCACTGAACAAAATTATTTTGTGAACAAATGTTATTTATTCAAGCACTACTTTTTTTCTCTTAGCTACAGCAATTAAGTAAAATTATTGTCAAAAGTAAATAAATTTATTTAAAATTTAAATCATTTGATTTAGATTTTAAAAAAATGGCTCCTAAACTATATTTTTTTTTTTAGGGAGTGAAACTTGGAAAAAGGAACTTTTGAGGTATTCTAATATAAATATAACGCACAATATACTTTTTTTACAGCTTAAGGATTATCCAATTAATGTTCTTGATAATAAAATTTTTAACGCTAAAAAAAAAAGTCAAGTAAATTGCGATAATCCTTGGTATAAAGAGCTTTTAAGAAAATATGCAACGAACGACTCAGTGTGCATTCCAAACTTAGCAGCTAGTTTACCTAAAGGTTACACAAGTCAAGTTTATAGTGCTGTCTATGCTCTTGCATATGGTCTGCATAAGTACTTAAACTGCTCGTTTGAAAAATGCTACACACCTTATAACTCAATTGATTATCAGCTATTATACAACTACTCTATAAATACATCGTTTACTGTTCCCAATAGCAACTATACAATTAGGTTTGACGAAAATGGAGAAATATTGTTTCCTGCATATCAGTACATGTTTGTTGATCAAAAAGGCTTTATTCAATTTGGAACCTGGGAATATAATCCTACCAACGTTATTATAAACCAAGATATTATTGCTTGGAAGAATAATTTAAAACCGAAATCTGTTTGTAGTTTGCCCTGCTTACCTGGGACATACAGAGTTAATTCAACATCATCAAAGTGTTGTTGGATTTGTGTACCCTGTCCTCGCGGATCGGTTTCACACGCAATAAACCAATATGAATGCACTAAGTGTTCTTTGTCTTCAATAGAAAATTTGAATCAAACTCAATGTAATGATTTATATGAGATAAGCTTAAATGTTTTCAGTGCTGAAGGAATAATAATAATTGTCGGATCATTATTAGGTGTTTTTTGCACATTGTTTGTATTAATTTTTTTTTTTAAATATTGGAACAACCCAGTTATTAAAAGTTCGAATAAAGAAATGTCCTGTATCCAGGTGTTTTCCCTTAAACTTCTATTTTGCATTTCATTTTTTTATTTTTGGAAACCCACGCCAACGTTATGCATGTTTAGAGTTACGCTATTTGGCTTCTTGCTTTTTACTTTTCTTGCTTTTGTTACAGTAAAAACATATCGATTGCTTTATGTGTTTAACTGCAAATTTACAAAAGCTTCAAAATTTTTGGATAACAAATTCCAAATAACCTTCACATTCTCAATAGTTTTAATGCAAACAATTGTAGTTGTAATTTTGCACGTATGCTACCCAACTAGTTTGAAGATTGTTCCTAACTATATAAAAAAGCAATTTTTTCTGATCTGTAAAGATGAAAATCCAGTTATTTGGATTTCCGCATTATTTTTTTTTTTACTAGCTGTTGTAAATGGATGCATGGCTTATCGTGCGCGTAACCTTCCGGGAAATTTTAAAGAAACTCAATCAATTTTGTATGGTATGCTTATAGTTATTATTTTGTGGGTTTCGTACATTCCCATTCATTTTAGTGTTAATCCACACGAATCTACAGTTGTGTTTTTATTTATTAACATTGTGGCGTGCTATAGCATGCTATTCATTTTGTATGGCAAAAGAGTTTTTTACATCATGTTTTATCCAAGCTTAAGCAGCGTTGAGTTTTTTTATGATAATTCTGCACAGAAAGTTATACACAATTTTGTTGAGAGAGTTTCCCAAGCTGACGGTACTACCATAAACGTGGTGCGCAGCGTTGTTATGTATGACAAAAACGTTCTTTCAAAGACAATTTTTTAAAGTTGAACAGCTTATTGAAATATAAAGTTTTTTTGTTTTTTAGTTATCAATAAATTATTAAAATAATTTTATTGAAATATGTAAAAAAATAATTCTTTAATGGCTTGTGCCAAGTAAAAAATTATTTATAGTTAGCAGAAGTATTCAAAATATTCAAAATTAGATTTTAATCTAGTTTAATTTAATAACTTTTTTTAAGCATGTTTAAAAAATACACACTTAAAAAACTTTAAATTTAAAAACTTACGAAATTTACTTACCCAAAAACTATAAGTGTTTAAATATAACTTTTATCAAAATTACGTGCGTCCATTTGAAGACATGTACAGTTAGGGCTAGTACGACAAATAGATTTTAAAGCCTGCGCACATTTTTGTGCGCAAGTTTTTAAATTGTTACTTGTTATTTTACTTATTTTACTTTACTTGTTACTTTACTTACTGTTATTTTACTTTACTTACAACTTAAAAAACCAGTTCAACCTTCTCATTTCTTTATTAATGATGGTTCTTATAAATTTATTATGATGGTTTTTACATATTTATGAAGATGGTTTTCATAAAATTAAATAAACTTGAATTAAATATAAATTAATAATTTTTATATATTTACTTTATTATTATTATTGTTTTTTAATTACCTCATGTTGGTAATCTAAATTTGATTCTAAAGTTTTAAAGATTTTAGATTTATTATTGCTGTGAACAAATTTTATTTTGAGATTTAAATTTTTTTTATTTAAATTGAAAATACTCCCTCTGATACGAATTACACAGTCTGTTACAAAAAAACTTTACTATTACAGAATAAACCGTTGCTGCGAAATACTCCCTTTGTTACAAAATACTTCCATTATTACAAAATACTCCCTTTGTTACAAAATACTACCTCTTTTACAAAATACTGCTCCAATTTATTGTTATATACCATAGTATGGAAATTTTGACTATAATATTTAAAATATTTCAATGAAATGACTTTTTTTAGAAAAAAATAGTTTAAAAAACTTCTTAATTTTTAAGTTTGTACACAACTGTTGTTTTATGATTCATATTTCAATTATATATATATATATATATATATATATATATATATATATATATATATATATATATATATATCGACGCCTCTAAGTACTGGTATATTCAATCGTTGTTTAAAGTTTTTGAAAAAAAAATTTAAATAAGTTTTGGAGAGAGTCTTGCCTAAATGGTTCAGCAATATGTTAATAACTACAACATCGGAGATGAAAAATAAAACAAACAGCTTTCGGTGGATAACGTTTGCTCTGCTTTCAGAAGTTGCGCAAGAGCTCTACTAGTCTAAGCAAAAACAACTGTCAGATAGTCTTTCCATCTTAACAAAGAAACAAAGCACACACAAAATCACATAATATATTGCATAAAATTATAATAGGAAGTTAAAACTTTTAGTAAACTTTCTTAAATATATAAAATAAGTTGTTTTTGATAATTTAAATTGTGTTTATAACATAAGGATATGTTATTCCATTTTATCTAAAATATTAGTAATAAAATAAATTCTGAATCTGAATTTGAACATTTGTAAACCTTGCTATGAATTTGAAAGAAAACGCCGCACCGTGGAATAACTTAACTTCAGCCAAATTAAAATGTAAATTTTACTATTTTTAGGGGGAAAAAAAAACATATAGTTTTAATCAAAAGATCATATATTTACTTAAATATGATTGTTATGCAGGCATCACATATAGGATATATATATATATATATATATATATATATATATATATATATATATATATATATATATATATATATATATATATATATGTATATATATATATATATATACATATATATATATATATATTAGGGTGTCACAAAAAATAATGAAAATTTAAAAATCAAGAGACTTCTAAACTATGTGGTTTGGTTTAAAAATATAGAATATATAAAAAAATTGATCCAAAGTTAGCAACTTTGCTGGATGTATAATTATAAAGTCAGAGAGATTTATATTAATATTTTACGGTTTTACGCGCATATTACTGAGACAATTTTCCTTCAATAAATATAAAAAACCCTAACTTACAAATTTATAGGTTAATGGAATTTAAAATTAGTTACATTTCCACCTAGATAAAAAACAATAAGCTGGCAAAGGTTTCTATAATCACCTCTTGCAAAAGTATTTTTGAGCAGAGCTTTTGAACAGAATGTAAGGGTATTTTTTGCAAGAGTGTACAACACTGAACCAACTTCTAGGTTATCGCAACTCATTTTTACAATATTATTTAGAGGGTTCGCTTCTGTACAAACTTCATTTCACTTTTTTTTTAACTTTTAATATAATGTTACATGGGGACCTTTTATCTTTCCTGTGAGTACTTCCATGAAGTGAGACAAATGCAGCTCCTATATGTGATGCCTGCATAACAACCATATTATAGGGAGGTTAAGTTTTACGCTCACCAATTGAATTATTTCTGTATATTTCCCTGTATTACTACTAATTTTTTTGCAGTAGCAAGCAAACAGTTGATAACACACTCGTAATATTCTAATAATTTTATTAGTTTAATTGCTTGGGATGCTCCAGTACCATTTTTTAATTGAATAATCCTAAGCATTATATTGTCGCAATCTGGAGCATTTGTAGAACTAACACTCACAGCCAATCTGTCATTAACAACAAATATTTGAAGGTCTTCTGAAAATTTAAATTGTTGTTGAATTATTATGCCTCTATTAATAATAAAGTTGTTCTGGAAATAAAATAATTACTTGGTTATAAATAAAAACTATTTTTAATAACGTAGTAGTTCACTATTACTTTTTTTATTTCTTCATTAGTTTTTCGTCAAATTCATCATCTGTTGAAGAGTCAAATTTGCAGTCGGCTGTTTCAAATCAATCTAACTTTTTCACTACATAGTGATATTCTACTATCCTGGCTTCCTTGAACTCTATGAATCTCTTTTTGTCTTTGTTTTTTTATAGTTAGGAATCTAAATCTCCTCTTTTCAGTTCTAGCTCTGTAAGCTGCATCATTTTTTTCTTCAATCAACATTTTCATTTCCTTCATTTGGTCTTCAAAGAATTCTAGATCATTTTCAACTACTCCTAGATCATTATCAGCTGCACTTATTTTTTGCTTCATTTTTAGATCATTATCAGCTGCACTTATTTTTTGCTCCATTTTTAAAATATTAAAAAGATTACTTAATTCGAACTTAAATTCTTCGAATGTTTTGTTTTATCTTTAAACTCAAGTGATTTCATTTTTAGCATTTTAGTGTATTTTTTTAATGAAATTCTTTAATTTTTCCTTAAGTAAATGATAGAAAAAATTATTTTATTGATAATAATTACAGTTAAGCTAACAAAAAACGAGCACAAACTGGAAAAATATTCATTATTTTAAAAGTTACTAAATACCTTACTTATGCGCTTTTCTAAATAAAATTTCCAAAACCTGCTTTTATCCATACAGAAATAACTTCGGCAACAACACAATTGGTTCCAAAATGATTAACACAATCTCCTTCAAAACACACAACTTTAAATCCACGACATTTTTGTGAAATGTGCAATGTGAAACTTTGACGGCCTGAATATGTAGCTTTTTTCAGAGTTTAAAAATACTGTCATAAATTTTTAAAATTAAAAGTAAAAATTTGTTAAGTTAGTTAAACTGAAAGAATAAAATACCAAATTTGTTAAATTTATTGCTTAGAAATCACATTATTTATTACTTATTAAGTTATACTAATTGGTATAAGACAAAATGGCATATCGGTTGATGAGAATAATAAGGTTCCATCTCCAAATTTTCATGGTGAAAAAATTTAATTTTCTGTTTTTAATTACAATATTATTTTTGTGTTCAAAATTATATAATTTTAATATATTAATCTTTTTATTATAATTTATATAAATTTAAAAATTGTTAGTTGTTTTTTTTTCATTGTCAATTTCAACCTTATTTCAAAAAGTTGGAATTAACAAATAATTTGTAGTCAATTTTTAAAATTATGAAATTAATGATGTTAGATTAATTATAAAACATAAATAACATAAAAAACATATATTTTATCAATATAATCAACGACAACTGTAAAACATGAACATAATAAAGTTAAATTCTCACAACGTTAAAAAATGGAGAAAGAACCCTATTATTCCAACGTCACTACTAGTTAAAATTATTTAACAAGTAAATCTATTAGAGAAATTTATAAACATTTTTAACTATACCAAATATATCTTTCTGTATGATTTTAACAACAATGCTTTTTTCATAACAATTATTACAAAAGCGAAAGTAAAATAAAAATATGGAAAAAGTTACATCCAAATTTTCAAAATACACATCTTGCAATAATTGCAATAGTCGACAATTCTTGTCGTCTACATGAACCATAAAATATGGGTATTTTCTTTTTCTACAGACCAAATTCCGAACATTTGAGGGTATAGACTTTTTTTTTTGAGGGAGGGGGGGGGGGAGGGAGGACACTCTAATGTATATCGCTCTATTTGAAATTAAGTTTTGTTTTATTATTAAATTAAAAATAAAACAAAACTTGTACTCTTTTACAAGTACGAGTTTTGTTTTATTATTACAATGCAAAACAGCCTTAAATAATTACACACACACACACACACACACACACACACACACTCACACACACACACATATATTTTTTTTTTTTTTTTTTTTTTTTAACATCTTCACTTCCAACAAGGCTGCAAGCAACCACTATAAGAGTTGGAAGTTACTGGAAGAGAAAAGACTAAATCTGTAGAGCAAGATAACGATTGACTGATGACTTAAAAGATTGCAAATTATATGAATCAGGAAAGCAAGATGAAGGAAGCGAATTCCAAAGAACTGATGTTCGAGGAAAAAAACTAGAAGAATAAGAGTTTTTGAAGCACTTAGGAACAGTCACAGAAAAAGGATGAGACTTAATTGAATGGCGAGTAACACGAGAATGTATTTTAGTAGATGGCACAAGGGACGCTAGCTCTTTAGAGCAGTGCCCATTATATATATATATATATATATATATATATATATATATATATATATATATATATATATATATATATATATATATATATATATATATATATATATATATATATATATATATATATATATATATATATATATATACATTTCTACTATTATTTTGATATTATTACTATTATTATTAAAATAGTAATAACATTATTGCTATTTTATTGAAATAATATTAATATTGTTAGTATTTTCATCATTGTTTAAATTTCTTCAGGTATTTATTTTATATTGGTATCTTCATGTATTTATTTTATATTAGTACCTTCAGGTATTTATTTTATATTGATATCTTCAAGTGTTTATTTTATATTAGTATCTTCAGTTATTTATTTTATATTGGTATCTTCAGGTATTCATTTAATATTGGTATTTTTAGGTATTTATTTTAAAATAATACTTTTGCTATTGTAAAATTGATATAAAAATGTCTTGTTATTAAATATATTTGATTTGATTTGTTTTTTTTTTTAACCAGTTAATAAAAAAGCAATGTAATTTTCTTACTGACAGTTTTCTGCCAGATCGAAAAATTTTTAGTATTCTATTAAACCTTTTTAAATCAGTAATAGTGACGTGGCAGTAAAAAGCACCTATTGTAAGTGAAAAATACTCACCTTCATTTTTCTGCTTAACAGATTTATATGGTTTAGAGAAGATACAATAAAAGTTAAAAAACATATATCTAAAATATTTAGTAGACTTCTGAACTTTGTTTCCTCCTAGGTCTTGTGGTAGTGAGCATGTTTCCTCCTAGGTCTTGTGGTAGCAAGCATGTTTCCTCCTAGGTCTTGTGGTAGCGAGCATGTTTCCTCCTAGGCCTAGTGGTGGTGAGTTTAAAAATTAAAACGGACAAAAAAAATTTCCTTTTTTACCAAAGAAAAAGATTTTAACAATTTACTGTTTTACATAACTTTGGATGGTATCTTTAATTTTAAAAACAGAAACTTAAAATGGAATTAAGTTAAAATTGATTGAAAATTAATCTTTATTTAAAATCTTTAACAAATACGGAAAAAATAATAATGGCTGACGTTTGCGTTTGAGGTTATAGAGTCGACGTTTGCGTTTGAGGTTATTGAGATAAGTAAGATATATTTGTCTTTAAATAATGACATCAGGTAAATAAGTTTCTATACGTTAAGTACATTAAGTTACGATGCGTTTGATTCAAATTAAAAAACAAAAAGTTACGATGTGTTTAAGTCAGACTAAAAAACAATAAGTTACCATGTGCTTGAGTCTGAGTAAAAAAAAAACAAAGCTGAAACAATAAAAAAATTTCTTGAGATTTCTAATGAAAAGAAGCTTTTGTTAACAATTAAAGTTCAATTTTCGCTCAAATGTGAAAAGTGTGAGGTCGAATTTCTAGGCATTTGCAAACAAAACTTGCTATAGACTTTTTTGGTAAAAAAAAAAAAAAAAAAACGATAGAATTTGTATCATACAAAAATATTGTTGTTAGAAAATTAATTTTTAGAATTCAAACAAATTGTATATAGACATATGTAGTTTTGTTTTCTAATAAAAAGGTGTGCAAATACTTTAAGTAAGTAAACACTTTGATTATTTTTTTATTTTTTTTACAGGTATTAATGAGAAAAGTTCTAACCTGCTGATAATATATTTAAATATTTTTGAAATGTAAAGTTAATTTAAGTCGGCAAAACTATTATTTTCATTTTAACTATTTTTCATTCTGTTTATCTTTATTGTATTTTTAATTTGTCAAATGTATTTTATATATATACATATATACATATATATATATACATATATATATATATATATATATATATATATATATATATATATATATATATATATATATATATATATATATATATATATATATATACATATATATATTTATATATATATATATATATATATATATATATATATATATATGTATATATATATATGTATATATATATATATATATATATATATATATATATATATGTATATATGTATATATATATATATATATATATATATATATATATATATATATATATATATATATTTATTTGACAAATATTGGCAAGATCTTGTGAATATTGCCAATATTGATCGCGTTCGCCCCTCTCATACCTTTTTTTTTTCTCTATAAAAAACTAGATATAAAGGACTTTTTTTTTTAGAACTTGGCAACTGTGCCCCTTTACTTCAAAACACAATTAATTTTTGTCAACTGAAACGAAACAAAGAAAGAAATTAAAACAAAATTAAAAAAACAAACAAAATGAAACAAACAAAATTAAAAAAAAGCACATATTTGTAATCAGATTGCTCAAGATATTTTTTGCATAATAGGGCAACATCATTATTCTCTAGATTAAAACATAAATTTTAAAAAGTTTAACTTGTTTTATGTATTTATTTATATTTTTGTCTATGTAAAAGAACAATTATTTTAAGTCACATCGAATAAAAACGGAAAAATAAGCTATTTAACTTTATTTATAAAAGGCAACTACATGTCCATTCATTCCGATATCAACTCCGTCCATTTCAAAGAAAACTACATCAGTGTCAAGATATTTAAATATGACAACAACGGATGAGATGTTATCAAAAAGTTTAAAATAGTGTCATTTATCATGAGCCTTTACAAAAAATAAAAAAAATTCTTCTATACATAAGACAACCGTGAAGCTGAGCCGCAGTATTACAGAAAGGACTGAATAAAACAGACCGAGGTCTTTGTGTGCAAAAAAAAAGGTGAAATAGGAGCCGCTCATAAAACCTCAGAAAAAGCAAAGGCCACTATTGCACATTAAGTTAGACCTCATTAAGGAAAATGACACCTAATATCATTATATAAAATGCGTTCTCCAGGAATCAATTCAAGCTGTTGCTTATTTAAATTAATAATTACTTATAAAGCCTCCGCAAATCCTGACTGTGCAATTTTTACAGAAGATACAAATTTGTTTTAATAACAAAGTTTTATTTGTCTACCTCAATCAATGACTCTTTTGATAGAGTTAGCTTTAAAAAAAAAAACATGATTCAGTGCTAATAATTTAATAAGAAACAAAGTTAATAGTTATTGCAACCTCTTTTTATATAACAAATTAATCTAAAAATACACTAAAATTACTGTTTCAGACAATTTAATCACTTCCAAGTTTCGTAATTCAAAATATATACTAGAATTTATAACTAAAATAAGTAATAAAGAATCTAAGTAACGAATTAGTTGAGACCATAAGTAATGAAGAATTATTATGTAACAAAGTAGTTGAGACCGTAAATGTTAGCCAGTTTAAGAATCATTTTGACAAGTTTTAACAGTTTTAACAGTTTAACAGCCCAGTGGGCACCCGACGTCAATCCGACGTCGGATTTACGTACGATTTTCATCAGCGATGTCAAAAGACATATTCCGACGTTGTTCCAATGTCAGTAAAATGACGTCGGGCGATGTCTTTATTTTAACATCCCCTGACGTCGTTTCGATGTATTTTGACGTTGTTCCAACATCTTATAAAAGACGCCCAAAAAACGTCGCAGTACTGACATCGATCCAACGTCGATAAAAAGACGTCGGGCAACGTCATAATATTAACGTACTCCGATGTCTTTTGACGTCTTCCGACGTCAATCCAACGTCCTTAAAACAACGTCGAAACAACGTCGTAAGACATCGCTGATGAAAATTTAATCCAAACCCAACAATATGTGTGCAATTGCGCTCTTCAATAAATATGTGAACTAAGCGTGTTTTTTATTAATGGAAAGAAGTTTGAATAATGGTTGATAAAACATCATGAGGTTTTGTATGATGCACTAGCATAGTTTTTTAACTATTAACATTTTCGAGTATACATTTTTTATAATATATAACTATTCGTTTTAATATTTATATAATATTTAAACAAAATTATTTCTTATCAAAGTAATAATTCCCAAATAGCTACAAGTATAAATTACTAAATAAACACATTTAATAATATATCTCTGTGGTGTAGTGGTAAGCGCGTAGGATTTAGTGTTTAAAAGACCGAGGTTCGATTCCTGCCGATGACAACGTTTTTTAGTTTTCATAAAACACGTTGGATTTACATCGGAATGCCGACGTCGCGCGATGTCAGTTTATCCGACGTCAAATAACATTTCCATTTCCAACGTAAACCCAACGTCGATCCGACGTCGAGATCCGACGTCGCTCGACGTTCGTTCGACGTCGAAATGCCCACTGGGAGACAAAGAAAGTTGAGGAATAGTTCATGTTAAGTGATTTCCAATCACAATTTTGTTGGCGTACTTTAGTTAGGTGACCTAACTAACAGTATGTATTGCACTCTCTAAAATCGTGTGCTATCCTGTCTGCTTACTCTATGCTATCTTTCTAATTCGACTACTTCTATCTTTCACTCTAAGATATTTTCGTTCTTCCTAAACTCACGTTACTCTGGTCGGTAGAGCAAGTATGACGCTTTTTTGACTTAATATATTCAAGTGTATTTTGTTTACTCTAAGGGATCGTCCATTAATTACGTCACGCATTCTTTGACAGATTTTGACCTCTCCCCCTTTCCCCCTCGTCAAAATTGCAACACTTAACCAATCCCACTCCCCTCCCTCTAACCCTAACCCTGACGTAATTTATGGATGACTCCTAACATGATTTAGAAAATTGAAGTCAAAATGTAGTTGATAAAAAATAAATAAAAATAATAAAATTTATAGTACATTCACCAATCTAAAACATCTACTCATTTCTTAAACTTTTTCAGTAATTTTTTATTGTTTGCCTATTTAAAATGCAATTTTTGTTTTAAAACGACCAAATAAATAAAAAAATAATATTTTTAGTCTTCTGATTTGATTAAATAATTTTAAAACGATTTTTTTTGTCCAATAGTCATAAAGTCATTAATCATAAAGTCATTAGCCATAAAATCATTAGTCATAAAGTCATTAGTCATAAAGTCATTTGTCATAAAGTCATTTGTCATAAAATCATTTGTCATAAAATCTTTAGTCATAAAGTAAAAGTTTGTTTTGTTGATTAAACAATAACTCTTTTTGAAAATTTTAGAATATAGCTAAAAATATTTTTTTATAAAATTTGTTATAATTATACATAATTATAAATAAATTGCGAAATAAAAATAATACAATAATTTTATTGTTATTAATAGTACAATAATTTTATTTTATAAATTTTATTGATTTACTTTAATTAACTTATTTTTTAAATAACAGTTCTCAGCCAATCTTTATTCAGAACAAATCAGTTATTTACACTTCAGTAAGAACAATATATATATATATATATATATATATATATATATATATATATATATATATATATATATATATATATATATATATATATATATATATATATATATATATATATATATATATATATATATATATATATATATACATATATATATATATTATATATATATGTATATATATATATATATATACATATATATATATATATATATACATATATATATATTAACATGTATATATATATATATATATATATACATGTTAATATATATATATATACATGTATATATATATATATATATATATATATATATATATATATATATATATATATATATATATACATGTATATATATATATATACATGTATATATATATATATATATATATATATATATATATATATATATATATATATATATATATATATATATATATATATATATATATGTATATATATATATATATATATATATATATATATATATATATGTATATATATATATATATATATCAGGGTTGGACTTGTCCACCAGGATGCCGGGGCAAGCCCCAATGAGCCGCTGATATTTTACTTACAATGGGCCATTAATATAAATCGCAGTTGCTACTACTTAGGTACAATAAAAAAATATGAAGGAAAAAATATTTGCAAATTAAGATAGTGGGTTTCATAGAAATATAAATTACATATTTACAAATTAAAATAACCTATTGTTAGTTGAGGTACCTAAGAGTTAAATAACACATTATTTATATATTATGTAATTTTTTTTTAAGATTAAATAGAGGGCCGCTAGAAATATTATCCCCCGGGCCGCCACAAAGAGCTAGTCCAACCCTTATATATATATATATATGTATATATATATATATATATATATATATATATATATATATATATATATATATATATATATATATTTATATATATATATATATATATATATATATATATATATATATATATATATATATATATATATATATATATATATACATATATATATATATACAAGGCCGGCGCGATAGGGGGTGTGTAACCTCCCCCGCATCAATGACTTTTAGTCGGCAAACTGGACCCTTAGTCGGCAAATTAGACCGTTTTAGACTAGTTAGGCGGCAAATGTTGACCCTTTCGATATAGGTTAGACAGTCGGTAAATGTCGTCATGACAGTCGGCAAATTTTGGAAAACGAGGACCTTTTTTTTTTTTTTGGTCGGCAAAAGTTGTAATGGCACCCCCACGTGACACCTACTCGCGCCGGCCCTGTATATATATATATATATATATATATATATATATATATATATATATATATATATATATATATATATATATATATATATATATATATATATATATATATATATATATATTAATTTACCATAAAAAAACGCGATTAATTGAAAATAATTAATATAAACTTTATAACAAAAATTTGGCGTTTAATAATATATCATTTAATGCTAATAATTAAATGAAACTTTTTGTGAGTCGTTTTTTTTTATTAACTATCGTTGATCTTAGCCAAGTTTTTTTATCGTAGTTGGTGCAGTCTACGACATTTCAACGACAATAAAAAATGTTATATAGAAATGTTAAAAACGATGATGATTTATAAAAAATGTAAAATAAATTTAATTTGTTTAAAGAATAAGGAAAAAACAACCTAATGTTATTGGCGCGGCAAAAACATTAAAAGTAATATCGTTTCTCTGCTAAAATCAAATAGATGCCGCCAGACAAAACTTTATCCGCTATAGTAATAAATAGAAAATAGCACATGAAATATGAACACATGTAAATATTTTAAAATAGATTTGTTGAAAACTAAAAATTACGGTAAAGAAAAATTTAACCAATTGCTTTTTTTCTACAGTTGTTGAAACAATAATAACGACTTTGTTTATTTATAAATTATTATCTAATAATGGTATTTTTGGTACCCTTTATGAGTACTCATTATAGTGAACTTTCTCGATATTTTGTAAAAATATGGCTTAAATCTTTCAAGAAAAAAATCATGCAAAAAATAAAACTAATGTTAATAGTTTTTTTAAAAAAAAAAAAAAAAAAAATGAAAAGAAACAAATACATTGAAATAAAAAGAAACTAAGAGGAGGGGGAAGCGAAAATGTCAACCATGCGTCAAAGTGATATTTATTTGTCATTTTTTTGTCCAAATAAGATAATCCGTAATAAGTCAAAGTATAAAAAGTTATTTAATCTTAATCAAAATAGTGATATTAATAATCATAACCAAAGATTATTTTTAGTCTAAGAGATTAATTTTGGTTTAAGTTTTTAACTGCTTATGTTTTAAACTGAAACGAAAATGAGAAATCTTAGATTTGAGTCCTTATCTCTGAAACAAAATATTTTAAAGAAGTTTTGATTTTTCTGCTTGACTTGCTTCAAATAGAAACTTATGAAAGTTATATTTTAATTAATAATATCTTTGTTTATTTTTAACAATTTTTTTTATGTTTAACAATTTATCTTAGCTAGTTTTTTAAACTTTATTCCTAAAAGTGTATTACTATTTCACTACAGACATTGTACTTTTATAAAAAATGATCATACATTTTAAAGGGCTTCATGATAAGATCCTCATAATCTTCTAGAAGTCCTGATGGGCTAACGTAAAAATTGTGAAACCTATATGATTATTGTAACTATTTTTAAACGGCAAAATTTATTAATAATAAAAAGATGTTATATATATATATATATATATATATATATATATATATATATATATATATATATATATATATATATATATATATATATATATATATATATATATATATATATATACATTTGTATTCTAGATAAGTACAACACTTAAAATGGATTAAATGCGTCGAGTATTCACCTATAGTTTATTTTATTTATGCACACTGATTGAATTGAAACTAGCAAAGAACAAATGCGGGGACTCAAATGTACTCCTGCGTCATTTTACTAATGCAACATTTTTTATTGGAGGTATTTTCCCAACTCATCATTTGCAAAATGAATCTTATACTCTCAACGAAGGAGCGATATTATGGGTATCGTCAATGATGCTTGCGATTCAAGAAATTAATGAAAATAACAACATACTTCCTGGAATAAAAATTGGTGAGATATATACAATATTTAGGTTTTATTTATGAAATATGTTTTTTACGAACTATGTTCATTCATAATTCTTAAAAGATTTGTTTAGTTATAATTGAGATTTTAACTTTGGTAGTTATTAACCTTTATTTTATATGTTTTATAAAACTTAAACAATCTTTGAAAGTTTTTCAACTTTTACCATAACATTTAAGGATACGACATACGAGACTCAAGAAACGATGTATTTTGTGCATGCCAACATGTTTTAGATTTCTTGCTAAATAAAAGGACGAGTCCTCTAATGATTGGGGTTATAGGGCCAGCATCTAGCTCTTTAAGTGTTGCTGTCAGCACTTTATTGCTACCTGACTATATTCCACAGATATCACATTCATCCACTAGCATGATCTTATCACAAAGATCTGTATATCGAAACTTTTTGCGCACCGTACCACCTGATGTATACCAAGCAAAAGCGTTACTTGATTTAATTGACTACTTCCAATGGACTTATATATCTTTATTTGCATCAGATGATGAGTATGGTCGTTTTGGACTTGAGGAAGTCCGAAAGGCTGCTATGGAAAAAAATATTTGCTTTTCTGTTGAAAAATTATTTAGTGCATCAATTCAAAATGAGGAGGTGGATGCAGTTTTGGAGAGTATTGAACAAAATTCGCGTATTGTAATATTGTGGTGTGACTCTCACAACGCTATGAAAATTATTTCTAAAAGTTTGGAGCGAGGTTTACAAGATATAAACTGGATAGGTAATATTTATTTTAATTTTTAAAATATTCCTCATTATTCTCTTTAGGATTCTGATTTGTTTAAACAACTTAATTCAAATTTAAAATTGTTATATATATATATATATATATATATATATATATATATATATATATATATATATATATATATATATATATATATATATATATATATATATATATATATATATATATATATATATATATATATATATATATATATATATATATATATATATATATATATATATATATATATATATATATATATATATATATATACAGTGCCAGCGCAAGTAGGTGTCACGTGAAGGGGGGGGAGGGGAACCATTACAACTTTTGCCGACTAAAAAAAAGAAAAAAAAAAGGTCCTCGTTTTTGAAAATTTCCCGACTGCCATAACGACATTTGCCGACTGACTGTCTAAATTACCGACTAACCTATCAAAAGAGTCTACATTTGCTAACTAGTCAAAAAGAGTCAAATTTGCCGACTAAGGGTCAAATTTGCCGACTACAAACCATGGATAGGGGGGGGGATATATATATATATATATATATATATATATATATATATATATATATATATATATATATATATATATATATGTATATATATATATATATATATATATATATATATATATATATATATATATGTATATATATATATATATATATATATATATATATATATATATATATATATATATATATATATATATATATATATATATATATATATATATATATATGTATATATATATATATATATATATATATATGTATGTATATATATATATACTTTTGTTTTGTGTTTTTTTACGTTTAGTATAAAAATGCAGTTATAAATATGTTTTACTTACCGGGCAGCCTAGAGCCGTTACGCCGCCTCGGACAGCAACCCTGAGGACGTTTTTCTTTATGTCTTTATTTTTTGTTGGGTACCTTCTTTTCATTTGGTGCCTAGTATATCTGCCGCCCAAGACAAAACTGTCCCTATCGCTACCCTCCCCCACTTCTCGGTGGCCCTGAATACTTGTAATCTAAATCTCTTTCAAATAATATTTACGAAGATAACATTTTTATGGTATATAAAGTATTTGGAATATTTAGTAATTTTATAAAGAATAGTTAGTAATTCTTTTTGCTACATGTAGTGAAAATATTACTAGCAACATTAACTTTATTGTAAAATTTTAAATTTTCGGTAATTAACACATATTTTTAATCAACATAAACAATTATGTTAGGATTATGATAGCATATTATTATAATAATGACCTAAACCGAAACGGAATATGAATTATATTTTATTTATGTAATACCTTTTAAAACAACATTACAATGTCTGCGCATGAAAAAGGAACTAATTAAAATAAAAAATTTTCCACAAAACAGTAAGACGGTTCCATACAAAAAGGTAGCAAAATTTATTATATTTTCCAATAATGCCTACATTGAAGTATTTGTGTTCAAAATTTCATATAAGTTTTACTTGTAGTTCCAGGGAAATTTGACTTATAGCATCGAGTTTATACCAGAATATTCCCTAAAATTTTATTTAATAATATGATTGCAAATGATAAGAATCAAAAAAGCAAGACGGAGGGAGTAAATTCCAAAGAAATGATGTTCGAGAAAAAAACTTGACTAATAAGAATTTTTAGAGCATTTAAGAAAGCTAAAGTAGAATAGTAAGACTTATTTAAATGAGGAGTAAAACAAAAATGAGTTTTAGTAGATGGCAAGAGAAAAACAATAATCAATTTTAGTAGATAGACGCTAGCTCTTTAGAGCAGCGCTCATTATAGTATTAAAGAAAAGAGAAAGAGAATCAACATTACGATGATGTGACGATTGCTGAAGGTTGGCTGTAAAAGCAGGAGAGCAGGTCCGACTCTTATCTGCCAAAATCGTTAATCTAAATTAAAAAAAGTAAACGGCTTAGATTAAAATCTTGAGAAACCCTTGAAGTTACAGTATATGAAGAAGAGTGGAATCCACAGATGACAACTTTTATACTACGATTGGTAAGGAAGGATTCAATAATTTTAAAAATGTTACCTGATACACCGTAAGAAAAGAATTTATCGAGAAGACCAACAAGTAAAACTTTATGAAAGGCTTTAGAAATGTTGAAAGCGATAGCCTTAGCATTTTTCCATCTATCTAATGCACGATAAAATCTATTACTTATTACCGTTAAAATATCAGCAGTAGAACGAGAAGATCCAAATCCATATTGATGATCAGAAAGTAAGTTATTAGATTCAAGATAAGAGATTAAGTGTTTTTTAATTAAAGATTTAAAAGCCTTGCTTATAATGGTAGAAGTCTAATGGAAGATAGTACACAACAGTTAAAGAATTTTGAAAGTATAGACAACAGTTAAAGAATTTTGAAAGTATAGACAACAGTTATAGAATTTTGAAAGTATAGACAACAGTTAAAGAATTTTGAAAGTATAGACAACAGTTAAAGAATTTTGAAAGTATAGACAACAGTTATAGAATTTTGAAAGTATAGACAACAGTTAAAGAATTTTGAAAGTATAGACAACAGTTAAAGAATTTTGAAAGTATAGACAACAGTTAAAGAATTTTGAAAGTATAGACAACAGTTAAAGAATTTTGAAAGTATTGACAACAGCTTCAGAGAACACTTTTGCAAGACTACAACAGGTATGTTTTCCGGTCCACAGGTTATCTAACCAAGAAATCAATTTAGATACAGAAGTTGGAGGAATACGAATTTCAAGTAATGGATCAACCTGGTTTTTGGTTTTATCAGCTAGTATGTGGTTAGTGGAATCATGATATGAGATTGATAAAAGGTTCTTATCAAACAGTTTAGCTTTGTCTTTAGGTGAGGAAACAAAATCTATACCATACAAGAGAAGAGGAATAACAGATTTGTTCTTTTTTATACACTGTTACAGATTCTCCTAACTTTGGAGATGAAATACGAGATTTTGTGACTTGAAAATAGCGGGATTTAGCGTTAAACAAAACCCTTTTATAATGGTTTCTAGCAATAGTAAATACACGTCTGCTTTTGGAGAATTGTTTTGGCTATAGATATGGAAGTATTGTTTACAATGAGAAATCGCAGCAGCACAATGAGAGGAAAACCACTAAGATGAGTGAGGTTTGACTTAGAAGAATTGAGAGAATAAAAGATTCCACGCCAGTGTGAATCTAAGTTACATATGTAGCATAAGTGTAACTTTCGGTACACATGCAAAATCTTTATCGAATATTATCCGATTTAAAATGTTTACTTATTTTTCAGTAATTACTTATAAAAGTTGTTAATCTGAAGAATTAGCTAAAATTTCTGAAAAAAAGCAAACTTAGGACCAAAAATACCACTTTTCTTAACTTTGTTTTAACTTTTAGCTCAAATTTCTTTAAATGGTTATTGTGAATAGCATTGAAACTTTTAATATAATGTTGCAACTTCAATACTCATTACAAAAAATTTAAAAGGTTTTACTAGAAGTGACCTTCTCAGGGAAACTATATATATATATACGTTGCATCACTTATGTTGCCGTGCAATTATTAATCATTTCCATTGAAACCAGCTCATATCATAAAAATAAACGAGCTAATAACTTACAAAAGATCAGTTTATGTGGCATGTGGCAAATGAAAATGTAACATGAATTCATTTTAGGTTATTAGTAAGTTTAGTAAAACCATGTGTGACTATTGTGCAAAGTTAAAGGGGAAGAAAACTGTTTGCACCTTTTTATATTTAATTCTCTGTGTCTTTCTTATTTATAGTGTACGAAGTAATTTAAGTCATATTCAAAGAAAGATCAAAGTCGATTGGCATAACTTAGATACAGACAGGGATGCGAAATCCTAAATAGGTTCCAGCTTTATATTACTGTTTTTTTCTGGTTTCTTGTGTCCAAAAACTCTAAATATGTTGGATGATATAACCTGCAATAAGAAAAAATTCATGAGCTTTAATGACTTGAAAAATGTTGTTTTTGAGACCGGAGTTCTTGCCACCGTTATACATAAGGATTCCAGGTTTAAAAATTCATTTTTCCTCTAATCTAAAATTTTTTATTTTTCTCCAAAAAGTAGACTATAAGCATTTTTACATTTTTGAAGCTCCTGGATACCAAATACGAGGCAGAAATAAACTTTTGTGATTTTTAAATCCAAAGTCCTATTTAGACTCTGCGTCCCTGGATATGGAACTCTAAGAGCCCGTAAAACTGTTTTTCTTTTTTTCTAAAGAACATTATTTAAATGCGGTTTCTTAAATAGCAAGTATTTTTAATAGTCTTATTTATTCAAATTGCCTTAAAACATTAACATTTATTTTATATTTAAAAACAATGTTTAATACAATCGCCAGAAGTCGTTTTTAAGTTACGAAACGAAAGAATTACAATTGAAATTCCATTCATTTAAAAAGTAAGAGCTAATTATAAATAATTTTTTTTTGTCGCGTAAATAATAAAACACTTTTAAAAGTGCGCTAAAAATTTTATGCTAATGTGCAAAGTTTTAATGTTACGCAAGTTCAAAATTAAATTGTGTTTCAACTTAGCATCTTCAATCAAAATTTTTAAATGTAAAAACATAAGATTTAATAACAGCAGACATATATTAATAAAAAAAATTCAGTTTTTTAAAAAAATGGAAAAATATAACCAGGCTTGGACTGGGCTGCTGGGATACCGGGAGATTCCGGTATCTTAACAAAAAATCATATTTTCAGTTAGATTACATTTTATTTTCCGTTGATTATTATAATAAACGTAAACTAAAATGTTACTAAAAGAAAATTGTAACCTCTTATCTAAACTCTGACATTCGGTGTAAATTGAACAGTAATCAATGCAAGCCAAGTGAAGAAACTTAAAACAACTATAATTATTTTGTGAAACTATCCGAATTTTTTGAAATCATTTTTAAATTTCATCCAAAGAAAAACAATTTTGATATAAACGCTAAAATTAAATAACACAAGTTTTACTTCAGAAACAATAGGCCTTGTCACTGGAAAAGACACAAAAACTGCTTTGTTCATTTCGCCTGGCACTTATCAAAGCCATAGATCAATTACGGTTCTTTAGTGGATATAAATTTACGAGTATATTTATCAAAGAATATCAGAACATAAAAGTAGTGCTCTCCATGCAGCCTGCACAGAATCATACGTTTTTAAAATCAATGCCAAGGATATTATAAGCATTTATACGCGCCAACATGATGAAGAGGTTAAAGAGAATCAATTAATTTTAGAAAAAATCATAGAAACTTAAAAGTTTTTGATAAGCGTGGATTTAGCTACAGAGGTGCAAAAGAGTCTGGGTTCACATTGCTTGATGACAGTGCAAATCATGAGAATTTTTTGAACATTCTTTTGCTTCTTGGCAAATTTGATCCGTTGTTTGAAACATATATCAAAGAGGATGTTAGAAAAAGCGAATTCTGGCATTGCTTAGTTGGCAACAGTTGAGGTCGTGGCAACTTGGTCATATTTTTGTCAAAAATGATGTTCTTTTGTGATCCGGTATGTTTAAGAAGCCGTACGTAAACATGTAATATCGATAGTCAATTGCACATCAACAACTTGAAAAGGAATGTGTGATTCGGTATGTGGCGTTTTTGAAAAGGTCGGCATTTATATAAATATATGTATTGGCAATGCAATCGGTGGAGCCTCCAATATGCAAAGTCAATACAATGGATTCAACACCTGGTTAAATAGAGTCTCCCCGGTCAGATTCATGTATAATGTTATGTGCATGTCTTTAATTTAAAAATACCGATTTTTACTAAAAAAGTTAAAGTTGCTACCTTATCTTGTGTTTTAAACACATGTGCAGTATTTTTATTGGAGTTATACTTACGCTTCAATGTTTGGCTTGAATTTAGAAAATTGAAATATATATTTGTATTCAGTGAAACACTTTGGTGGGCAAAATATAGAGCTCTTACTAAGATATTTGGAAATTTCTTCATCAAAATCTCAAATCAAGAAACTCAAGTTATTGATTACTTGTACATTGACGTATTACAAATATTTCATGATATCTCTACATCAATCAAATTTAATAATGATGTCCGTTTCAGAACAAAAGCTCTTTTAGATTCCTTGACAATTTTTTAATTCATTTTGACGGAAAAATTGTTTTTGAAAGTGTTTGAGAACACAACGCCATCATCTAAATATTTGCAAGCAACTGGAATATATAGAACACAAAAATATGGATTTGAAGTTCAGACTGGATTGAAAGAGAAAAGAATTAGAGTCAACAAACTACTTGAAAGTGCAAAAGATAAATTTCGTGTCAATGTTCACAAAATTGTCATGATTCAAATAACTAGTAGTTTAAAACAGAGATTATCTGAGCATGGTATATGCTGATTTATTTTGTTTAGATCCAAGAAATTTTGCAAAGTTTTTTTAAAAACTGCCTTGTGACGGATTGCAGCACCTCAGTGGGTGGTTCAAAAAATTTAATGCTTATGTAACAATAGACCAGCTTTAAACGAAATTGTTGTACTTTGCAAGAAAATGTTTTGAAACATCTCTTGAAGTTGAGTATAATTTGCTATTTGACACGGAAGTATCTAACTTCGTAACAATCTAAATGCGTAGAACTTGAAAAGTCTTTAAAATCCCAGAAAAACAGCAACAGCCACATAAATAAATGCAAATTTTGCAAAAAATGTATTATTTGTTGTTACTTTGTACTCCTGAAGTTCAATTTACATAATCTTGCGAATTCAAATTTGTTTCTGGTATACAAATTTGTGTTGACATTATCTTCATCACAAGTTGCTTGTGAATGGTAATTCTTTTTTTCAAGCCAGTTTTTTCAAGCCAGTCCGACCCTGAACATAACTTTTGGAAAAACATAACTTGATCGTAAATTTTTAAACTTGCGTTACATAAAAATTGCGAAGGTTCTTTCGAGAGTTTTTTAAAATTTTCTTTATATAAAAATTATCTGACCAACAATAAAGTAAAGATGATGGCTGTATTTCCAGTTTAAAATAAATTAGATTTTGCAATTCAATTTATGGGGAAAATAGTATTTCACAATATTTTTTTTTTTATTATTTGACGTTAGAAATTACGACGACTTTCGCAACTATTAAAACAACTTATATAAAGTAACTAAATTATTAAAAATATATTTTTATTAAACTTTCATGAGTCTACTCCAATAAAAATCTGTTAAAAAGTAACAAAAATGAGATCGAAAATTTAATACTTTAAGATTTTCTGCTGTGGAACACGCCACACGCCTACACATGCACACACACACACACATTTACAATAATAATAATAATAATAATAATAATAATAATAATAATAATAATAATAATAATAGCAATAATAGCAATAATAATAATAATAATAATAATAATAGTAAACAGATTGTTTGATAAAAGATGTTGAGAACTATTTAAAGAAACTAATTCAATATGTTTTGTCTAAAAAACTGGCAGATAAAATCAAGTTATGTCAGAACATAATTATTAAGCTAAACTTGTTGAGCTTTTTTTATACACAGTTCTGTAACCCCTCAGAAACCTTTTGATAACTTTAATAAAAACCTTTTGTAGTTTTTGTTGTTATTATGGTTGTTGTTTTTGTGTTGTTTTTTTTCAATTTTAATTTAATAAATTAATAACTTTTGTTTTTAAAAATCTAATTGTTAACACGTTTTTAAATTAATATTAGGAACTGAATCTTGGGGAAACGATATCGTTGCAATGCTTAAACAATACTCTTTTCTAACACACAATATATTTGTATTGCGTCTCAAAGAATACGCAATAAAAAATCTTCATGATGAAATACACAATGCAAATGTCGCAAGTAAAATCAATTGTGATAATCCATGGTATAAAGAATTTTTGAGTAAACATACTAAAGATTGCCCAGAATTTATTCCTAGTTTATCAACTATGTTGTCTAAAAGAAAAACAGCGCAGGTTTTTGGTGCTGTATATGCTTTAGCGTACGGGCTGCACAGCTATTTAAATTGTTCATTTACAACATGTGTCACATCATCTGAACGTATAAATTACCAATTATTATATAAACACGTGGTGAATACAAGTTTTTTTGTACCTGCAAGCAACTATTCAGTTAGGTTTGATATAAATGGAGACTTTTTATTATCTGCGTATGAGTACATACTAGTTGATCAGATATCTTTTACTGAATTCGGAACTTGGGAATATCATTTTGATAAGCCAGCCACAATAGATATAAACCAATCAAAAATTTCTTGGAAAAATATATCCACTCCAAAAACTGTTTGCAGTGCAAGCTGCTACCCTGGTACGTATCGACTTAACTCGACTGAATCTAAGTGTTGCTGGTTTTGTACACGTTGTGAAAGAGGTTATATTACAAGATCAATAAATGAATATAAGTGTACAAAGTGCCCTCCTACTACTTTAGAAAATTCAAACCAAACTCAATGTAACAATTTGACTGAAGTCAGATTAAAAATTTACAGTACAACTGGAATAGTTATTATCGTTGGTTCATTACTAGGTGTATTTTTTACAATAATTGTGTTTATTTTCTATTTATTTAATTGGAATAACCCCATTGTTAAAGGTGCTAACAGAGAAATGTCTTGTATCCAGCTGTTTTCTCTTAAATTTTTGTTTTTGTTCTCATTTTTATTTTTTAAAAAACCAACCCCAATGTTGTGTATGTTAAGATCGTCATTATTTGGTTTTTTATTTACTACAATTCTCGCTTTTGTTGTTGTGAAAACATACAGATTGGTTCGCGTATTTAATGGACGGTTTACAAAAGTTTCCAAATACTTAGAAAATAAATTTCAAGTATTTTTTTCTTTTTTACTTGTATTCCTACAAACTTCAACTGTTGTTATTTGGCATATCTATCATCCTACTAATATACAAACTATACCTGATTCTAATCGCAGCAATTATTATCTTGTCTGTGATAATGAAAAACCGTTATTTTGGATTTCATTAACATATTTTTGTATATTAGCTATTGTAAGTGGGTATATGGCTTTCCGAGCGCGGAAACTTCCTGAAAATTTTAACGAAACACAATACATTGCCTATGCTATGTTTACAGTGTGTCTATTTTGGTTTACATACATTCCAATTCATTTTAGTGTTGATCCACACGAATCTATAGTGGCGTTTTTATGCATCAATTTATTATCCTGTTACAGCATGCTTATAACTTTGTATGGAAAAAAGATAAGCTACGTATTATATTATTCAAAATTAAACAGACCAAAACTTAGTAATAACAGTTCCGTAGAAACCATTTCATGCAATTTTAATTTTGAGGAAGTTGTCCAATCAGATTGTTCCTCGACGAAAACAATTAACTCCGAGGTAGTTTGTAATAAAAATGCGCTTGCACATTTAGATTCTTTAATACCAACGTTGTAAACAGTTTTTTTTTGCGTTTTTTATACTTTTAAGTAAATTTTTGTAAATAGTTATGTATATATTATATATAATTTTTCTTTTTTACGCAAACTGGCTCAGAATGCGAGACTTATGTAGTAAAAACAAACTAAATAGAAAAAACAAGTTTAACATACAACACCTTCATTTTTTTCAAAGAGTGTATAAAAATGTTTTTTTTTTTTGAAAATAAACTCTTAGCTGAGTTTATTGTTAAAGTTACATCATAAGTTGTTTGATGTTTTGATGATCAATCAAAAAAAGACTTTTTTTTATCATAATTTCAAACTTAGACCGTAACTATGTTTGTTGAAACAAAGTTTATTAAACAAGAATTTTTTTTTGTGAAGATAATTTTTATAAGAAATAGTTGGTTCATATTTTTGAACTGATTTACTTTTTCATAAATATCACAAAAATAATAAGAAAGTCTTTTTCTTTGGTATAGCTAAATGCTCCCTAGAACATATTTTTTTAATCTTGACTGATTAAATTAATTAAATTTTGATCAATACTTGTTATTACTATTATGATTAATTATTTATTTATTCGTTTATTATTATTTATACGCATTTTTTACAAGTTTCATCAAACGTCTCTATCTTTGAACAGTTTAGCGAGGTTATAATTTTCATATTTTCATCAAGAACAAATGTTCTAAATCAAATTCTATGTCAAAATGCAATACTAATATAGCTTATGCAGCTATATACAAATATAAATATTTTAAATATTTTTAACTTGTTAGGTGTTTTGTTTTATGTATTATGCCAATTTTTTTCAATTAATGTAATTTGTTTTTTTCAGTTAAGTTTTTTATCAAATATTATTCCAAGGATTTTAAGTGCAACTTTTGCTAATATTTTATTTATAGTTATGTGACGAAGCTAAAAAAAGAAGTCAGCGGACTTATATTAGTAATAAAATATATTTAGTTTTACTAATTTTCAAACAAAAGTTTGTTTCATTTGAACCAGTCATTAAAGTTTTCCAACTCTCGGATTATTGTGGAGTTTTTTATACCCATTCCAACATATAAAAGTTTTTATGTATTGGAATGGGTATTAAAAACATTGTGCGATCAGCGAAAAGTGATATGGAAGTGTCTTATTCAAAAAGAACAAAACTTGGCATGTTTAAGTGTAAGTAGATATCATTTACATAAATTAGAAATGGTAAAGATCTAAGAGTAGAGCCTTGAGGACCTTCAATTTAAATATTATTATATTTGCACAAATGTTACTGATGGTAAATAAAGCTACCCATTTAGTCTGCTTTATACTTCTTTTTTTTTGGTAAAAATATCCATATATATATACAAAATAGTAAGAAATTATTTTTAAGGTAAAAATCAGAAGCATGGAACGTTCAACTTATTTTGCAAAAAGTTTTCAATGTTTGTTTTATTTAATAAAATATTACATATTTTGGGTCAATAATAGGTGTATTAAAGCCGTTTTTTGAATTGTTTTTCCAGCTGAGTAATATAAATAAAAGTTAATAATATAAGTATAAATAACAAAAGTTCTATTTAAAAAATTTATTAAAATACTATTTCACAACTCTTTTATTTTAAATTTTTTTTTCTAAAACTAATATGCTCTTAAAGCTGTTTTAAGCTGTCCAAAAAAAATGGCAGTTCAATACAAACATACAGCACTCGTAAAGTTCGGCGTTAGATCAATGTTTCACGGTTAGCACGGATCCTCATAATGCTTACCTAGTTGTCCCAAGAACGCCACTTAGACGGAAAGTTGGCGTACACATCAAGGTACCCTGTGATGCAAATTTTGAAATCATTTAATTTTGTCCGCAGAAAATAATTTAACTTGAATGTTCAAATTAAGTCAAATTTTGACTTTATAGTGTGCCAATAAAAACACTTATAGAATTTGAACCACTCAATATATTTTGATAAAAATTGATACAAATGTAGCCAATAGTCACACCAAACTTTGGACAAAATCTCAGTCTGATTGGATGACTGGTGTAGGATTTATTGCAGTTTTAGTTGAAGTTTTGTCAGTTTTTTGCTACTTATACCTCAAAACGTTACCGATTACTTTGAAATTCGGTCAATATTTTTAAAATAACGGTTACATGAGTGTTCTTCTATGTAATACAAACAATTTTTGTTATAATTATTTGATCGGTACATGTACAGTTTTCATTTTATAGACCAGAATAGTGATTCTGTTTAAATCTACTTAAAGCGTTATTTAAATAGTCTTATGCTAATAGTGTCGACACAGCTTTCAAAATGGAGAGGTCAACCCCTTAATTTCAAAAACAAAATCCATAATTTCTAAAATAATTGTCTATGTTTCTAAAACAAAAGGTCCTCGCAAAAAAAAAGTAAAGAAGGACATGACCTCCTAGTCTCCCCGACGTTGACGGCCATGTATGCTTCGCTTGAATATACCAACATTTCCTAAGGTATAAACTGCAGCCAAAAAAAAAGCTAAAAAAAAGTGCAAAACCTGGTCAAAAGATTACCAGTTATTAAAACAAAAAAAAAAGTAGATTACCTAAAATATTTTGTATTGACCTCCTTAAATACATTTACTTTTAAAATGAAGTGAAAACTTTTTAAACCCTATTTTTTACATTGTATTACCATCAAATATCTAATTACATTTTAAAAAATGTTTTTTTGATTTTCTTCATTAAAAGATTATAAATAAATAGCTCAATGTTATCTTTTAATACAAATACTCTATAATACAACTTTTAAAGTTGGTGAAAATATTCATTATACGCCGTAAAATATGAATTTCAGCAGCCTAATTTCTAAAAACTCAAATGATGTTCTTTAAAAATGATTACTGTTTAGATCAATTATGCAGCGCAACAACCTTTTTTTGTACTCTGGATGATTATTATTTCGCTTACACCTCGACCAATGTTGATAAAAATCTTGAGGAAAAGTTTCGACAGTTTGTTCACTATAGGGCCCCAAGGGGGATTCTTTGTGACTGATGAAGTCCTTGATTTGGTAGAAGACAACGTGAATTTTGGGTGTTACGCTTGCATTAGTTATCATTAGGTAACACTTTTTGAAATTTTAAATTTTTTCAGCAAAATCCGGCTGAAGGATGTATCTAAAGCACCTTGACAACTAAATTGCATTAGCAACGACCCCGCCAGATTGCTGAAAAGACTCAAGGCTTGATTTAATTGAGCCCAGTGTTCGCAAGTTTCCAGATACGGCAAGATAATTGGGTTTGACGTCACACCAGATGCAAGGGTGCGTACTTGAATGAGTTTGAAGACCACAAATAATATTTGCAACTTTCATATCACAAGCCAAAATTAGTTTAACTCCATTTGCATTAATCAGTGACCAGATTTTTTCAATATTGGAGTGTGTTTCTGGTAAACCCCAACTATAGTTTTTCTCTTGACTCCAGTGTCTTTACCAGTCCTTTGAGTGATAGGTTGTTGTTGGTGCGGTGAGCTGGTTTCATCACTTAAAGCAGTATCAACAATTCTTAGACAAAACTTGAGAAAACCTTTGCCACCATCAATTCCGAGCTTAACAAAATAGCCACCAGAAATTTTGCGGGACTGAATAACATGACTCACAAGACTTGATAAATCATTGCAGTGAGCAACAACATGAACTGTGCAAGAATCTGTTTTTTCGTCTGTAATTTTTAAGTCGCTGCAGGTGAAGTAATCGTTCAATTCTTGACCTAGTGTTAGAAAATTCATGTAGAAATTTTGCTCTGCCATCTTACTGCTTGATGTTTTGTTTATAGTTCTAACAAGTTTTTTTAATCCGTTGTTTGAAAGGCACGTATTTAATTGCACATTTGCAAGGGATAAAGTGATTAATTTCGGAGTACATGATGGTGCCTGTGCACTACTTTGAACTAAAACCAAAACATACATATTTTATAGTTACAATAAACTTTGTTTAGTAAGTTTGTGTAAAACTTTCAAATTATTTATTTTTAAAGAAATTAGAAACTTGTCAAAAATATACTTCTTGAAATCTATCTAGTGTTATTTCTTAATAGTCAAGAATTTATTTCAATATATATGTTAAAATTGTTTAAGTATAAATATTTACCAGGGTTAACTGTAAGTGGAGGCCCGCCGGATGCTTTAGCCAGTTGAATAGTTCCTTCCGGAGATAATTCTTTATTGGAAATAACTCAAGATGCGATTTGTTCGGATGATTTGGCATCTTTTGCTGCTAAATGTTTTCGCTTTACATTATTTGAGAGCATTTGTGGGACAAACCTTTTCCTAAAAGGCTGAGGCATTTGCTGCAACGCACCTTTGGTTTTTTCTCAATATTGGTTTGCTCTATAAGAGAATGTTTGTCTTGCTGCTTTGAAAGACCAAATCGGCATTTTAGGCAACAACACATGCTGCCTTACCAGGAAACAATTGTTTAAACTATTTATTGTAAGGAAGTTACATTATTGATAATTGTCACACTTATTAAACTAATGATACTTGTCACACAGGTTGTTTTATTTCAAAATACCCCTTCAAACTAATTAGTTATTCAGTTAGAGTAATTTTCCTCTGACTGGCCCTCCAAACTTTGTATTGGTCAGATATCTTAGTTAACTTATCTAAATTTTTTTAAGTCAATTATTTTTGTCAATTTAAAAAATATTTGGTTTTTTTACAGTCATTCTGTTTTCAGATAAATAAAAATTTTTATTTTCTAATAAAGTTTCTCTAGAAATGCTTCTTAACAATTTGTTTTGGAATTTTTTTGCATTCTGGCAATAGTTTATACCTTAGGAAGCGTTGGTATAATCACGCTATGCATACATGGCCGTCAAGGGAGCCATTGCCTACCCGCTTTTTTTTTTGCGAGGACCTTTTGTTTTAGAAACATAGGCATTTATTTTAGAAATTATAGACTTTATTTTAGAAATTGAGGGGTTGCCCCCCTCCACTTTAAAGGTCGTGTCGACGCCATTGGCATAAGTCAACTCAAATCACGCTTTAAGTAGCAAGTCACTATTTTGGTCTATAAAATGAAAACTGTACATGTACCGATAAAATAATTATAACAAAAATTGTTTGTATTACATAGTAGAACACTCGTGTAACTGTTATTTTAAAAATAGTGACCGAATTTCAAAGTAATTGGTAACGCTTTGAGGTATAAATAGCAAAAAACTGACAA